AAAAAAAAAAAAAAAAAAATCATTCTTAGCTCACAGGCCATACAGAAATGGGCAGTATGCCATCGTTTGTCAACTCCTATGCCAAGTAAAAGAGGCCAGATGCAAAGACTCTACACTGTATGATTTCCATTTATATCGTATTCTGGAGAAGGCAAAACTACATAGCAGAAAACAGACCAGTGATTGCCCAGGACAGAGTGAGAGGGGAGGAGGAGATGTTCCACATCTTTATCAACACTTGGTATTGTCAGGGTTTAATTTGTTTTTGTTTTTAGCCATTCTAAGAGACATGTAGTGATGTGTCGCTGCAGTTTTAGTTGGCACAACCCTAATGACTAAGGATATTGAGGGTCTTCTCTTTTCTTTTCTTTTAATATTTATTTGTTTATTTGGCTGTACCGGGTCTTAGTTGCTGCATGCAGGATCTTCGATGCGGCACACGGAATCTTTTAGTTGGGGCATGTGGGATCTAGTTCCCTGACCAGGGATCAAACCTGGGCCCCCTGCACTGGGAGCGTGGAGTCTTACCCACTGGACCAACAGGGAAGTCCTGAGGGTCTTTTCAAGTCATTTGCCTTTCATACCTCTTTGGTGTTGTGTCCCTAAATCTTCCTCCTGCCTTTTTTTTAAATTGGGTTTTTTGTTTTCTGTTTCACTACCAGCATTTGATGCTCTAAATTTCCAAGCACTGCTTTAGCCTTATGATACAAATTTGGGTGTGTTGTGTTTTCATTTTCATTCAATTCAAAATAGTTTCTAATTTCCCTTGTGACTTCCTCTTTGACCTGTGAGTTATTTAGAAGTATGTTTAATTTTCAAATATTTCCAGATTTTCCAGGTATTTTTCTGTTGATTCCGTTGTTGCCACAGAATATATGCTATATAATTTCAGTTCTTTTAAATTTCTTGAAATTTGTTTTATGGCCTGAAATGTGTATATCTTTTTTTTTTTAAATATATTTATTTATCTTTGGCTGTGTTGGGTCCTCGTTGCTACGCATGGGCTTTCTCTAGTTGTGGCGAGCGGGAGCTACTCTTCATTGCAGTGCGTGGGCTTCTCATTGCCGTGGCTTCTCTTGTTGCGGAGCACGGTCTAGGCGCGCGGGCTTCAGTAGTTGTGGCATGTGGGCTCAGTAGTTGTGGCTCACAGGTTCTAGAGCTCAGGCTCAGTAGTTGTGACGCACGGGCTTAGTTGCTCCACGGCATGTGGGATCTTCCCGGACCAGGGCTCGAACCCGTGTCCCCTGCATTGGCAGGCAGATTCTCAGCCACTGCACCACCTGGGAAGCCTGAAATGTGTATATCTTAATAAATGTTCCATGTGCATTTATTTGAACACAACATGTTCTGCACTTGTTGATGAAGTTTTCTGTAAATGTCAACAAGGTCAAGTTGGCTGATACTGTTCTTCATGTCTTGTATATTCTGGTTGATTTTGTCTGTACTCTCTATCAATTAATAAGGAGTGTTGAAATCCCCAACTATAATTGTGGATTTGTCTATTACTCCTTTCAGTTCTCACAGTTTTTGCTTCATATACTTTATAGCTCTGTTATTATGTGAAGACATATTTAGGATTGTTCGATTTTCTTGATGAATTGAGTCCTTTATCATTATGTAATGTCTGTCTTTATTGCTGATAGTTCCAAAGTGTCTGATAGTAGACAGACACTCCAGCTTTCTTTTGATTAGTGTTTGCATGGTATATATTTTTCCATTTATATTAGTTTTCTATTGTTACCACAAACTTTAGTGACTTTAAGCAACAACCGTTTATTAGCGCACAGTCCTGTAGGTCAGAAGCTGTGCCCAGATCTCACAGCCTGAAATCAACGTCATCTCTTCTACATTCCTGCCCGGAAGCTCATTCAGGTTTCAGGGAGCATTCATTCCCTGAGGCGTAGGACTGAGATCCTGGTTGTCTTGCTTGCTGTTAATGTCTTTCAGCTTCTAGAAGCTGCTCTCAGGTTCTTGCCACATGGCCCCTCTGTCTCAGCATTGGAGATCCTCCCTCACGTGGAATCCCTCTCATGCTTCAAATCTCTCTGACTTACCCTTCTGCCACCAGCTGGGGAAAATTTTGCTTTTAAAGAGCTCACGTGATTAGGTAGGTCAGAACCACCTGGATAAGTTTCCTGTCCTGACTGTGCCATATAACATAAGCCAGTCATGGGTGTGAAGACCATCATATTCACAGTCCTGGGGATTACACAGGGCTTGTACACAGGGGAGTGGGAGATACTGAGGGCCAGCCTAGAAGGCTGCTTACCACACCATTCTTTTAATTTATCTTTGTCTTTAAGTTGAGCTTCTTATAGATAGCATATATAATCATTCTTCTTTATCCAATCTTATAGTCTTTTTCTTTTCATTGGTATGTTTTGGCCATTTACACATAATTAATTACCAGTGTGGCTGAACTAAAATCTACCGTCTTTTTTTTTTGTTTCCTATTTCTGCTGTCTGTTCTTTGTTCTCTTCCCCTTCTGTTACCATGGATTTTTTGGGGGGAGGGTATTTAAAATTTCATTTTATCTCTGCTATTGGTTATTTTTTTCTTTTTTTTTTTTTTGGCCACACTGTGTGGCATGTGGGGGGATCATGTGGCATGTGGCATGGAATCTTAACCACTGGACTGCCAGGGAAGCCCCTCCGCTATTGGTTTATCATTTATATCTCTCTATAATTTTTTTTTAGTGATTGCCCTAGGATTTACAGTATACATTTTTAATTAATCATAGTCTACCTTCAAGAATAGTATACTAAAAAAAAAAGAAAAAAAAATAATAGTGTACTGCCTCATGTATAATGTAAGAACTTTCAGTAGTACACTGCAATTTCTCTCTTCCATGTTTTGTGCTTTTGTTGTCACACTTTTTACTTTTACTTATGTTGTAAGTCTACACTACATTTCTATTGTTTTACTTTAGACAGTTATCTTTAGAGCAATTTAAAATAAGGGAGAAAATACATTGTATTTTGTATTTTGTAAATATGTAAATTATAACACATTATATATAAATATGTATGTAACATAACACATATTATGTATAAGGTACATTATATTTACCTTCATTTTAATCATCTCTGGAGATCTTCATTTCTTTACGTAGATCCATGTTCCTCTGGTATCATATTCCTTCTGCTTGAAGAACTTCCTTTAATATTTCTTGTAGTGTAGGTTGGCTATTATGAATTCTCTCAGCTTTTGTTTGTCGTTTTCAAAAGATATTTTCAGTGGATATAGAATTACAGGTTCGCAATTATTTCTTTTATTTTTTAAAAATTATTTATTTATTTATTTTATTTACTTGGCTGTGCTGGGTCTCAGTTGTGGCAGGTGGGCTCCTTAGTTGTGGCTCACCGGCTCCTTAGTTGTGGCATGCGAACTCTTAGTTGTGGCATGCATGTGGGATCTAGTTCCCTGACCAGGGATTGAACCCAAGCCCCCTGCATTGGGAGCTCAGAGTCTTAACCACTGTGCCACCAGGGAAGTCCCCACAATTATTTCTTTCAGCACTTTACATGGGCACTCTTCTTTTGTGAGGCTGTTAGTATGGAGGATCAAGTCAGTCTGGTTAGGAATTGAGCTGAATTTGGATCTGTGTTTCCTACCTTATGTTATTGTTGGAAATTTTTCATCCATTATCTCTTCATATGTTTCTTCTGCCTCATTTTCTTCCTCTTTTCCTTCTGGGATTCCAGTTACACTTGGTTTAGACTGATATTGTCCCACAGCTTTTGGATTCTGTGTTTTGTGTCTTTAACTCTTATTTTTCTTTTCATGTATTAGTTTGAGTAATTTGTATTGGATAATATTTATTGACCTTTCTTCCACTTCACTAATTCTTTCCTTGACCATTAAATATTATGATGAGTCCATTCTGCTTATGGGTTACTATATTTCTATTTTTATTTTTAACATTTCCATTTGACTTTCACAGTTTCCACCTCTGCTGGAGCTCCTTATCAGTTCATGCATTTTTCCTACTTTTTCCACTAGCACCTTTAATATAATAGTCATAGTTACTTTATTTGAATCCCCTGTCTAATAGTTCTAACATCCACGTCATCCCTGAGTCTGTTTCTGTTGACTGCTTTGTCCTTTCACAGTGTGTTGATTTTCACTTTTCATTTGCATGTGTGTTAGACACATTTGATTAAATGTTAGACATCATGAGTGAGACAGTGAAAACTGAGGGAAATGGTCTTTATGCTTAGAAATGGGCATGATTCTTCTGCCGGGCTGTCGGAATGGGAATCGAGTCAGTCTAGTTAGGAGTTAAGCTTACTTTGGATTTTGTTATTGCTTTGGTTCCCTTCAGTTCACCACCAGCCTCTATTGTTACCATGTGCATCTTCCTGTATTTCTGTGCTTCAAAGGAAATCTCTCTCCATGCTGCTCTTGCCCTCTCCCAGCTGTAGATACCTATTGATTTCCACTTGGTGCTTGTTGGTTTGGGGAAGGGAGGGTATTCTCTATTATCCTGGTCCAGCTTTGGTCCCTGTGGCCATGGGTCTTGGGGGTGGGCTTTCTCAGTGATGCTGCTGGTCCCATCAGGGTAGAGGATTTTTTTTCTTTTACCCTTCCACCAGCCCAAATGTGTCCTCACATGTGCCCTGTAGGAGACAGGATTCGCTGATCCACTCCCAGCCCCTTGAGGCTTTTGTTCTTCGGAGAAGGAAGGGCCAGGCTGGGCATTATGCTTTTGTGGGTGGGCGGGCAGTATTGGCTGCTCCCCTCCACGTGGCCTGTATCACTGAGGGAGGCTTTCTCCAGCTTCCTGCTCTGGACACAGTCTTTGTCATGCACATACTTAGTGGGGGACTGTTGAGAAGAACCTGCACATTGGGGCAAATTCTCCGTGTGTCTGTGGCTCCCAGAGGTTTTTGTACCTCTCATGCTAGCCTACTTGGCTTTCAGCGGCTGATGAACAATTTAAGCTAAACTCTTCTTACCTGTTTGTATGTGCCCAGCACCTCGTCTTCCTGTGCCCTCTCTCAAGTGAGCATGTGTTCGTATCCATTTTCTCCTTTGAGGGGTCTCTTTGCTTAGATTTTATTCTCGTGGGTGCCCTGTGACCTCAGCGCTCTGATGACTTCAGAAAGTTACGATAGTTCTACTTGATCTGACTTCTTCTTGTTGGGATGAGTATAATGTTCTTTCCAACTTTCAGCATCCTGGGGGGGCCTAAACCTCCTTGATCTTATTCTGGTCGTCACACACAAAAAAACAGATGCCGGGCTCTGTGCCAAGTGAGGGGAAATCAAGCTTTGGTTGGGGGAATTCCCTCTCCTAGCATTGTACTTAGTCTTGCTAGGAGGGTAATTCCAAAGCTTATTACCTAAGGTTTCCCAGTGGGAGGCTTTGCTTGTAATTTGAACCTTAAGTGAGCATCTCAAGGTTGGAAAGAAAGATCGGAGGTGAGCAGCATCCTGCCAGACCCTCTTCCTCTGGCCTGAGGCTGGCATCCTCATCTCTCCGCTCTCGGTGCCTTTGTTGCCTCTCCATGCAAATCTGGTTCTCCAGGTTCATGTTAATTTGGGGGGCCTCTATTAGCTTTCCAGTAAATTCTTTCATGCTTAAGTTTACTAGAGTTATCAGTTGTTGTCACTTACATCCAAGGATTTTTGCCTCAGGAAATATATAGGCTTGAAGGGAAAACACAGTACTCAGAAAACAACTGAAGTGCCAAATGCAGAGCAAAACAGTACGGCCAAGATTGGACAGGCCAGGGGTCAGCAGAATTGCTCATGGAAGACCAGATAGTAAATGTCATCGTCTTGCAGTCATATGGTGTCTGTGGCAGCTACTCAACTCTGCCATCGTAGCACAGAAGCAGCCACGCACAGTATGTAAACAAGTGAGAGCAGCTGTCCCAGTAAAGCTCTTTACAAATACTGGCTGCTATAGGTTGCCAACCCGCGGTACAGGCTGCCGTGTATATTCAGAGGAAGAATGGAGCTGCTCTGTATATCCACTGTGGTTTTTGGCCAAGGCCAGAGTTTCGAGTTTAAAGATCCTTATACCTGGCAACTGACTGACCAATGTAATTCTTTTTGCCCATCCTTCTCTTGCAGAAGCAAAGCCAGCCCCAGAAATATTTGAAAACGAAGTCATGGCCCTGCTGAGAGACTTTGCTAAGAACAAAAACAGAGAGCAGCGACTACGGGCCCCAGATCTCGAATACCTCTTTGAAAAGCCACATTGAGCTGAGCGCCACTGCCTGCCTGGCCTCGGTCTGCGGATGCTCACTGCTTATGATGGGTATTGGCCTTGATGTCCTGCTTCTCCTTAGACGCTCAGCCCACCCAGACCATTGGTCCTGCCTCCAGTGATGGACCCGCCTCTCTCCTGAGGACATGTAAATGTTCAGTGTATCTCATTCTAAGACCTTGTGGTTCTGTTCTAAGCCTCAAAGCGGTTTGTCTAAGTTACCGGTGTTCAGGCCTGACTTTTCTCTGGCTCCACAGGAGGGCACTGTAGTGGAAGCGATTGTGCCAGCTCGTTGCTTCAGCCAGAAGTGAGCTCAATGCAGAGGGGCAGCCAGCTCTTTGTGCTGTGTGGAAAGCTCCCCGGGTGACCCAGGTCTTTGTTCCAGTGAAATTCCCCCTTCCAACCTGGGATGGTTCTTTCTGCCAAGGGAAGCTGATCCAAGCCCCCTGAGCAGAATCCTTCAAAGGCCCAGCAGGCAGAATGACGGCAGTGGGCAGGAATGGTGTGGGCGCGCTACTTAAGAGTCAGCATCCTCATCAGATTTTCTCTAAAATGCTCACTTTGTAAATTGAACGATAATTGAATATTAAAGAGTATTTTAAAAAGGAAAATCACACCTCCCCAGCCCTCACACAATTATTTTAATTTTGTCTCTTCTCATGTAATCCACGGGCATATGTTTATAGAGCTTTACAAGGTCACAGTTGTAGGTTTTATCTTCATGCAGCACTAGAGCAGACATTTTCTCTATTTCTACAGAGTCTCCACGATCATTTTAGTTGACAGACTAGTAACGCATAAGAAATAATGTGTTAGGATGAATTAGCTGAAAGTGTTTAGCTCTAGGACTAGAAGATTTCGACCTTGCCAGGAGGGTAGTCTCACTGGAGGAATTTTCCCCTAGGAGCTGTAAACCAGTCAGAACGGCCATCACCCAGACTGGGCCAGGACCATTAAAGGTGCGATCGGAGGAAGGCAGGCCAGAATCGCTAAGCAGGTGGTTGGTGAGCACAAGAGCTGCACGCAGGCAGGAAGCACACGTTTCCAGCATTATTGAGCTTTGGGGTTCCCACGGAGCTTCCTCATGGTCCTGCCTGCCCCTCAGTGTCCCTGGCTGAAGAGAAAAGAGGAGAGAACCAGCCTTTATTTACTTACATGATCTCAGTAGAGCTTCACAGCTCTCCTGCAGACAAGTGGTGTCACACCTATTTTATAGACGTGAAAGTAGGCTCAGAGAGAGTGATTTGTCCAAGATTAAGTCACTACTCAGTCAGAAAGCCAGAATCTTGCTTAGTTCAGTCTGTCTCCAAAGCTCATGAACTTTCTGCCCGAACATGCTACCTTACTGGTGGAAACTGTAGAAATCTACGCTTTGAGAAGTTATAGCAAAGAAACTTGATGGTTCTGAGCCATGACCTGTGTGTCACATAGGGCAGGGGTCCCCAACCCCCGGGCTGTGGACTGGTACTGGTCCACGGCCTGTTAGGGACCGGGCCACACAGCAGCAGGTGAGCGGCGGGCGAGTGAGCAAAGCTTCACCTGCTGCTGCCCATTGCTTGCACTACCACCTGAACCATGGCCCCGCCCCCCCATCTGTGGAAAAATTGTCTTCCATGAAATTGGTCCCTGCTGCCATAAAGGTTGGGGACCGCTGACACAGGGAACAGGAAGCTGCCAGGTGCTTCCCAAAGTAAGCACTTGGTTACCCATGGTAGCTCGTAAAGTGAGGGTAGGAACTGGTTACAAGTCAGATCCTGACTCTGCTGCTTACTGTCTGGATAAATGAATTGGCTTGAGCCTCGATTTCCTCATCTATAAAATGGGGATGATGATGCTCCCTGTCTTAACTGTCTGTGAAGATCAGACGTGAAGAGATAAAGCACACGGAGCTCTTCCATGGTCCCCAGCACGCAGTAAGCTCTCGGTAGATATTAGGTGTCAACGTTAGGTCATGGCCTCAGCCTGAGATTTAGGAGCTGTCTCCTAACACAAATGGCCTGCCGTGTCAGCGAGGTCACCAGAGCTTCATGCAAGGCAGAGTCCTGCAGGTAGAAAAGCCAGACCTGTTAAGGAACCATGGGATGTCTTACCAGCCAGTAAAGACTGGAGAGAAAACAGACCCTGGTGTCAAGGACTTCGATGGAAAAATCTGTAGCACTGTCACCTAAGCAAGGAATGAGAGTGAGAAATGGCAGGCAGAAGCAGACATCGATCGCCCTGGGAGCTCACCACAGACTCTGGCCAATCTCTCGGGCCTCATTTGATGTACTGTGTGGAGAATGTTAAACAGAGTTTATGTAGAGAGATGTCTGGACTGTCAGGAGTGTACACGAGTTGGGCAGTGACTTAACGCATCTATCCTGGACTCATACGCAACAAATCCCAGCAGCCAAGTATGCAGCTTGGGCTTTATCCCCCTGGGGTTTGATCTCTCCTAACCCTGATTTTGTCTTTTTTAACATAACGTTCAGCTGCTGCCACTTTGACCTGGGAATGGCATGCTTCTAAAGGAGATGTTTTCTTCCCAGGCTGCTGTCTTGTGTCATCTCTGAAAGTGAAGGATCTTGCTTAACTTCAGCTGCTCAGTGTCAGACCAGGGGTGCTGTGTAAACAGTTTTTCCCTTTATTAGGCATTAAGTAAAACTAGGCCAGCCACAGGACATTTTAAAAAAATTAATAAACATATTGCAAGGGCCAGCAGCCCCGCAAGAGCTGTGATGAGCAAAGCTGGACTTATTCCTCTCCCTGTGCCACATCACTGCTCACTGACCTCATTCAGAGCCTCTGTGGGGCACCCAGGCATCTGGCCCTGCCCTGTCCCATCTGAAGTGGTCTCACAAGACCTGTCGCACAAGCTCCCACATCAGACGTCAAACTGGGGCAGTAAAAGCTGTCCTCTCCCCGTCATTTCCTCTCTTAATCATTTTAGGTCTTGAGAATCCATAAGCCAAATCCCTTTTGCCCGACCCTGATCCTTAGATGGGGCATATCTGTCGGGGTCATCACAGAGGCACCTCTGACTGGTGTTGGCCGTCGTCTGGAGGTCATCTGCTCTGTCTCTTCAGCTCAGTGAGGGTGGCACTGACCCAAACCTTGTTCATATTTTTAAACATCCCCAGGGAAAGATTCCACTGGGGGAGTAGAGAGTCTTACTTTTATCTTTCCATCCATCTGCTCTCGTGGCTAGACAGGAAGTTTCCATGATGGGGAAGTTCACGCAGCCTTAAATGGCAAGCAGGGCTGGGAGACCTGTGCTGACAGCATCTTATTGGTACAGCCCGTCGTCGTATCTGAGGATGGAGGACTTGCCAGCTGAGGGTGCTGATCAGCTCCCAGTTAAGCCACCTTGTTCAGTTTCCCAGTGAACCCTCTGGCATTGAGGACTGGGCGTTAGGCTCTTCCCTAGTCGGGTGACCTGAGGCAAGGAGTGGAGTGCTCCTTTGCCTTTAAGAAACAAATGTCAGCAGTCGGACATTTCAGGGCGGATGGTGGAAAAGTTGAAGCTGTCCAAGATAACATCAGGTGTCCAAGGAGAAGACGTGCAGAGGAGAAATCTGCCTCCTCACGACCTGAGAGGTAGGCTTTTGCTAGGTCCCAGGTCTCGCCTGAATCCAGATATTCCCACCAAGGAGGAGAAAGTTCTCTTTAAAAGGACAGTGTGAACACATTTTACGTAACTACGCATCACAGCATGTAGAGTTAAAAAAGCAAATTATGATGTTAAGATGTACATTTTGTTTCGCAGTGGATTTCAGTTAGTTAGTATGTGGTGAAATGTTCACATTTGGTGATGCCCTGGGACGCATGTTGGAGAAATAGAGCAGAGCAGTTCATGGCAGCTGCTTAGGGGTCAGGCCTAAGGTAGAGTCCTGGCTCTCCCATTGGTCAGTTGGGTTGGTCACGTTGTTTAACCTCTCCACGCTTCTGTGTCTCTCATCTGTAGAAAGGAAAGTCAAAGAACCACCTCACGTGTGGGTGTAAGGACTAAATAAGTCACCTGTGTGAAGTGCTCAGCACAGCATCTGGCACCTGAGCGACACTCATAATCGCAGCTAATGGTGGTGTTGGCCGAAGTCACGCCCAGCACCGCTAAGAGCATTCCTCGAATGACATCACTCAGGCCTCACAACAGGGATATGAGATAGGCACAACTATCAATCCCTTGGCCAGGTGAGGAAAGTGAGGCCTGGTGAGATGAAGCTGCTTGCCGGAGGCCGCAGGCAGGAAGCATGAGAGCTGGAATTGGAAGCCAGGCAGTGGGCCTCCAGGGCCTGTGCACCGAGGCCCTGTCTGCTACCTCAAAACACGAAACTGTCGTCATTAGTCTTCTGCTCCTGACTCGTCTCCTGCATCTTGCCTTGGTCCATGGAGGACTGCTGTGCAGAGTCCTTCGTGGAGACCCCCTCTCCGTTCCCTATAGGCTCTCCCCTCCCCCTCAGGCCCTGACTCTTGTAGAGATGATATCAGAGCCTCAGCAGTTCCAGCCTGAACACCTGAGCCCTCCAAGCAGGACAGGTGCAACCTAGCTCTCCAAGTGACGGTCTGGAGTTCAGAGAGACTGCCTTTGGGTTTTCGGGGGGCCAGGGGCAGGGCTCGATCTCTGCCCTGCTTCAAGGCTTCCATCCTTACCCTGAGCAGCAGAGATGAGGGTGGAAGCTTTCTGGGTCTTGCCGTCACTATCCGTCTTTTCCTTCCAAGCCACAGGCTGTCTCAGAGCTGGATGTGGCTGGTCGGAGACTATGTGAACCCCATTCTAGGGCCCCCAGCTGAGTTGTCCAACCTCTACTGCGCCCACTGGCTCCAGCACTTTTGCTGACAAGCTACTGCTGGTTGCTCCTAAGAGCACAGGCTCTCCCCTGCTCCCCTGTCTCTCTTTGCTCCCACCCCTAAGCAGAGTCATGAAGAGTGAGAAGGTTTTAGGAGATGTTATACTAGATGCTGTGTTTCCTGCGCAAATAGAAACAACAGTGGGCTTGGTCCAAACAGGAAGAGTGATGATCAGAAATCTAATTAGAAAGTTACGCTATAATGGTTTTCAGTAGATGCTGGGGATCAGAGAAGGATTTTTTTTTTTTTTTTTTTTTTTGGCCACGCTATAAAGCGTGTGGGATCTTAGTTCCCTGACCAGGAATCGAACCCATGTCCCCTGCAGTGGAAGCAGGGAGTTTTACCACCGGACTGCCAGGGAAGTCTCTATGATTTCACTCTTTATTTCACTGATTCACAAGCAGAGGTTGTCAGCCCTAGCACCATGTGCTAGGCCTAGTGCCAGGCCCAGGAGACAGAGGTGAATGAGATACAGCCCGTGCTCCAGAGGACCTTTGAAGGAGGGATAAGCCAACAGAAGAGAAGTGAGGATTGGTCCGTGTGTCTCAGGCACTGACTCAACTGGGCACAGGCCGTGGGACATCCAGCCTCATGTGACAGGCGCACCTCCACACCAGGCCGTGGAGCTCTGAGATACCTACTTTTAATATCCTAGAAATAGCTTCCCTTGTTCTGAATTCACTCTCACCGATCAATTTTATGAGGGTCTGGCAGACTCTTAGCCCTTGTAGCCACTCCCTTTGCTGTGATTTTGCAGGGCCCTCCCCTCTGACCCTGGGGTCAG